CATTACTATGATATAGGTGTTGCTATGAATTTCATATTTTGGGTTTTAAGTAAATCTTTTGAAATAAAGAAGTTAGATGAAAGAGTTTATCGGGTGGGGGATTCTAAAACTATTCAAGTTGGAACTACGAACAGTGCTACCCATGAAAATGGTCATAATAAGGAACATATATCTCAAACCTAAAATAAAGTAAGTAATGCATTATTCAAAGCAGTTATTTTAGGAACTCATCATTATAAGTGAAAAAACAACTGACAGTAGCATGTCAGAACAAGATCTTCAATTTAAGATAACACCTTATTTAAATTCCCCTTGTATGTTAAGATGGCATTTATGACGATAAATTGAATTTCCAAAACTCCAATGGAGGTTTCCTGGCTTAAATAATGCACGGAGGATTTTTTCTCCATCCTTATAACTAGAAAGTCGCCATATACAGTGTGGGTGCCACGTAAATCACTACAAAAGAAAAATGAAAAATTAAGAAAGATGATAAAAAATAAGAATATTATAATTTAAGAAAGATATTAAAAAAGCAATAAGTCATAAAAATAGACATTTCAAAATGACCAACACAATTAATCAACGACTTTTCTGTCAAGTGGTATCATTGCGAGGCCAAAATATCTTTACGGAGGAAGGTAGTCTGGTACTGGTGTAACTCTCAAGGACCGATGGTTAGGAAACTACCCGCCTATATGACTTATATACTGTTGGGAAAAGGCGTAAAATGAAACAAACAAACAAACAAAATATCTTTAACACATGCTGATAGAACTTTGTATGTTTCTGAGCAATAATTTAGTTCATTACTTTGATGCATTACGGTATTCTTAAAACACTACATATAAACGTTTAAATTCAGGGAAAAATATGTGTACGTATTCCTACCGTCACTAGAAAATTTGAATTGATGAGTCTTTGAATCCTTCGCTATTCATATAACATTATGTTAGGTTAAAGATACAATATTTATTATATTATGCGTAAATGCAGTTTTAACTCTTGAAATTACGGACGATCATTAAAATTTGTGACAAATATTTGTAATCAACAGTATACTCTATGCAATTCAAGCAGGCAAAGCGGTGACTAAGTATCCGTAAATGTAAAGCTGTTTTTTAATTAAATGTTCTTAGAACGAGATCGTGATACACTCCAGACGTCTTCAATGTCGCTATTAAGGTTTCTATATTTATGTAATGTTACATTCAAAGAAATTTTTTTTTTTTTTTTTTCTCTTCGCAAAATATTATAATACGTAATAACTATTCAATTTTTTCCGTATTAGAAAGGGAACTAATACCACTTTAAAAGTTGTAAATTAGATATTTTTTCATAGCATACGAAATTAAAATAATCGTAACAAGAATGTATTTGTTATAAAACACTTTAAGGTTAAACAATAATTCATTCACAAATATATACACAAAGGAATACAACTAAAGACATATTAACGCTTGTGATATTTAAATGTTGAAACTACAAGAATCGGTGATGACCGGTGTGGCTGGTAGCTTGTGTTTACCAGGATTGTCTAAGACCAGCATCAACAAAAACCGAGTCTGCAACAATTTCAATTTCGCCATTTTTACCTTTTTTCAAAGATTTCTATTTTTGTGGAAAGATGAGCCACATTTACTACATGCTTGCAATTTATTAAAATAAAATCTCCCAATGAATAGGAAGTTTATAAGACTACTTTGAAAGCGATATAGAGACAGAAATATAAAGACCTTTGATTAAGAGTAATGATAAGAATAGAGGCAAAGTATTTGTAATAGATATTAATAATTTGATATAAGGAAGAAATGAGAAATAAAAAAAAGAGAGAAATGAATTAAATGTAAGTTGCTTAAGGTACAGGTTTCTAAATAGACTTAAAATTAGAAGTACATATATAGTTGGTAAATCGTTTTCATTTTTTTCTGTTAAGCGTGTCGCTAGTTTGATTTTTGTTAAAATTGTATTCTGTATTTTCTGTTATGATGTTTTGTTTCAAGTTGATCTTGTTTGATTCTTAAATTGCATATTTTGATTTTCCATTAAAAATTATATCTTTTCTTTTTAATTGTAATATGAGCATTTAATGACGTCAGACACAATCAGTTAAGTTAGACTTTATTTACCAATGTTAAAGACAGCTGATATATCGCCTTATATTGAAACCAATTATCACAGAAGAGCGAAAGTGTGAAACATTGTACGCTTTATTGGCTTTACTTGTCTATCGTGTATCGTAAGTTTGCTAATGGTGAACATGTAATTGAATAATGCCGACAATCTCACAATTCTATCATCTTGCCGGTTTCAAGTTGATAGTTTAAAGTGTATTTTATTAGTGGTTATTTTCCTAGGTAAAATTCTTTACTAAAGATCAAACATTACGGAAGGATTGGACAATTGACAAAAAATGTTACATCAGAGCATTTGCGAGATAATTTTATATTATGTTTTTATACATTTTACGGAAATTGTCGCTTATAATTTTCATACAACATGCAACTGCAATCAAATTTTAAAAGATATATGTTTCATGCATTATTAGTTAAATATGAATTAATATTAAACACTAAGGTAATTTTCTATTATTTTTACTGGTCGCAGTCGCACATAATCATTGCCGACTTGTTCACATATTTTTAATAATTCAAAATTGAATACAGTTATAATTTGCTTGTTATAAAAGTAAACGAACAATATGAAGTTGTTTCCATTATCCGGTTATTTCAGAATTAAAAAAGACAAACCAATGCCTACAGAAAATTTTAAGACAACCAAAGCCTGCCACATTTTCCCTTTTGCCATGCTTTCAAGATTCACATTCAATATTTGACCATAACATTTTATTGTTTTTTCCACTGAATAGATGGTGACCGGTACTCGGTAAATGTGTGCTTTTTCTCATCTTTGACCTGGTTACAAACAATCATCTTTCTTTGTGCATTACCTCTCAGAAAAACTCTTACATCGGCTTTTTGCCAAGTTGTCACTGTAACAGTATGTTTTACCTTGGCATTAGATGGGAGGAATAATAAAATGCCAAGTTCAAGTGTATATCTGTTACGTAAAAAAATGAACCCAAAATATTTATACAATGTGCGTGAGATATATTTTGTGATCCTTATATTTCCATTTGATTATATTTATAAATTATCTTTTATAACTTGTCATGAGTAACACATTCAAGACAGCAGAAGAAGATGGAGTAATTTTCATTAACATTACAGCGTTTATCGATAATTTGCATAAGATGAAACTAAGACGAAAAAACTAAACAACAAGAACAAAAAGAAAAAAAAAACAATAAAAAAAAAAATATTAAAAAAAACCGCAACAACAACCCCCTAAAAAGATGGGTTTTCACTTGAGTTGAATGAAAATCAAATTTATAGAACACTTTGATAAATTGTCATTATTGGTTTTAGCTAGAATCGCCAACGCCAGTTATAAAATTCTTTTACATGTATTGACATTCTTGCCATTTACGTCATTTGTTCCCATTTGTATGATGAATAAGTGTTATGAAAGATAATGTGTGTACTCAAATCCTCCAAAAGGTTTAAACATCATGCAAACAAACGTACATTAAGTAACTTATTATGTAGTTACGGTCACGTTTTGTCTTAAAATAAAACATATTAGGCTAATTTAACGATCAAGTTAAAATATTAGAATATTTCATCACCCTAAAGCAATGTTATTATATAAATATAAAAAAATACAATGATATTATACACCTAATTGATCAAATGAATTTCAGATTTAAAATTCCTCGGTTATTGATAAAAGACAAAAGGTCAATTAGATTTATTGTAAGTGAATAAACATCACATAGATCAGGGATTGTCTTAAGCAAGGTTGATTTTCAAGTACAAATGTAAACCGTACCATTTGTAAATAGACCGAGAAACAAAACACCAACAAAACAAATATTAAAGTACCTGTGCGGGGAAGTGATTTAAAACAATATTCCGCAAAAATGTACGTTAAATGATTTAAATAACCTGCAAAAATGCAGGGATGACACTTGCTGTCTAAAGCAAAAGTATAATTTGGCTGATCAATAACAAGTGGGCGGTTCTATGCGTATTTCTCCGGGGAAAATGAGTACATGTATCAACTATTCGTAAAGGGTATTTTGTTAGGATTGAATGATATAAGTAATATATACTTTTTAAGGTCCAACTAAAAGTTATTTGAAGCTAAAAAAACAACTATTTTAATTGCCTTGGTGATGGAATACATTTACTTAAAATGAACATTGACTGAAGCCGTTTGATAATCTTTTTTCAAAGCATATTGTTACAATGTTTACGAATTTACATGCATTTGTTGATTTAACAACTTTTCGATTTATATTCATTGAATGCCCATTATACCTAGAAGTTAATCTATTTGTATTCGTAAAAGCTTTACTCTTTTGATAGCTTGTTATGCTTAAAAATTATAACAAACTCAAGATTACTAAATGGCCAATTACCTTTTCAATCTTTAATTTCTATTTCTTTGAAGTGATTAAGTTTTTTGTATGGAAGACAAAATACTACGTTATTTACATTTTGCTATTTAATGGCATGTCAAATAATTTTACGGTTATTGCTTCGATCTTCATCTGATAAGTATCTGATAAGTATATAACATCTAAGTTACATAATACAAAGCTCATGTTAATCCTTTATAAAATTTACTCGTACTTCAAGGTTCATCATATTTATGTTTGTTTTGCATTGATGAAAAAGCATTTCAACCAAGCAGGCGATCAAGTCTTGAACACAGGTGCTAGTGGCATTGATTTGACCTAAAATGTGTTTGACCTTGTTATTTATACGAAAATTATAGGTACGCCGGTTATCTGTGTTAAAATTTTTTATCGGGCGGTAATATCGTCCGATTTTTGCATGGAATCAATGTACAATATATTTTTCTATTACAATTTACTATTTACATATCCCTAATTAACCGCTAGTTAATGTTATAAAGCCCGAAAGTAAGAAATCACCCAGGTCCGAAAGATGAGACCGCCATGACATGTACGTTGTAACTGGCATTTTCGCTTGAAATGCATAAATAAAGAGACCAACAGGGTCTAACACACATGCAAACAACTGGATTCTACTTACTTTTTAATGTTCTTATGCTCGATAAATGAAACTCGGTCTAATGAGCCTGTATTTCAATAAATATTCTGCTACTAAACGATGTTTTCCTCAGAATTATTATGACCCGGAAGTGTTCGTCCGACAACAGGTGCGTGGTTCCCCGTTTTGCTTGATGATAGTGCGTGGTAAACGGAAGCCAGTAGAATGTTTTCATTTATCATTCGGCATTCTCACTTATTATCAATGTACCGTATATAACACGTTTTTTTCGCGGAATACGTCAAATTTAATTAAAATATGGCAAATCTCAACAAAAATCAGTCGTCTGCATTAGATGCTGTTCTCTCAGGCCACAATGTCTTAATCACAGGTCCAGCAGGAACAGGAAAGTCCTTCCTCATTAGCGAAATAGTTAAAACATGTGAAAATCAGGGTAAAATTGTAGCGTTGACATGCACAACTGGCATCGCCTGCTCTGTATATACGGATATGACACTAAAGGCAAACACATTGCATCGCTGGTCAGGGATAGAAGATGGTCGGTATCCTCCGTCTGAAATAAAAACAGTTATTCTAAACAATGTTAAATATGCCAAAGTGGTTAATAACATTAGAAATACAGACATTCTCATCATTGATGAGGTTTCAATGTTAAGTAAGAAGGTGTTTGGCAGCCTCAGTGAAGTTTGTTCTATAAAAAATGAAAAAATTGTATTTGGAGGTATACAGCTGGGGGCCGTTTTATCAACGCTCTACGACATGTCGTAGGCTAGTTTTTTGTCGCAGACATGTCGCAGAACGTTAAAACCGTTTTATGAACGTTTGTCGTAGCCTACGACGTCGTAGAAAATGTCGCAGCTCTACGACAGGGTTGGGGCTGTCGTACGATGTTTCTGTGACGTCAAGACTGGCGATCACTGTTTACATGTATGGGCCTACATGCTCAGCACATTATTTTTATTAAATAACTTTTTCAGAATAAAAAGAAAACATATTTCAATTGTTTTTGTTTCCTTTTAATGTCAAGCGCTTATATAAGGGCATTATACATGCGCGCTAAGTATAGAAAGAAACAGAATATACAAATCTTATACCCTATAAAAATGTCTAAAATATCGTTCATTTGGAGCAAATATGCCCTTACGGTCATACTCTATTCTATTAGTAATGAGTTCCGAAGATTTCTTCGGAAAATAGAATAAAAATAAATTTACTCACATCTTTTTTATTTCACATTTGGAAAAATCATAATATTTTTACTAAATTTTACATAAATTTAGATATTTCTTTGAAGAAAACCCATATGGTATCAAATAAAGGACACCGGAAAGTTACCGTGGTCATGAAATCTGGAAAAACAATTTTAAAAAGAAAAAATAGTCAATAGAATATAAAAAAAAGTTCAAAAAGACAATGCGACATTAACCAAAAGTTACCGTGGATGAAAGCACCAATATTTAAATTGTCAAATTTTATGATAAACTGCAATATACAGTGTAGATATAATAATTCATTCTGCACAATTTGCATTGTGTATTAATTATGCATTTTAATTCTTAAAAAAATATAGAATCCGAACTGTAACTACGTAATTTGCAATCCCGGGGTGGGGAGTTATTTAGTATACTACAACTACATGAGATATACATGTACGTATATATATCTATAAGTAGCCTGGGATTCAGGCGTTGATATATTTTTTGCCTATTCATAACTTACGCGCTAATTCATACTCGATACTCATAGATAACACTACATATCTGGTTTTGATAGTATCAATATATGAGCTGTGTCACGACAAAACCAACATAATGGGTTTGCGACCAGCATGGATCTAGACCAGCCTGCGCATCCGCGCAGTCTGATCAGGATCCATGCTGTTCGCTGTCAGTTTCTCTACTTGTTATAGAGTTGTTATTATGTTGGTTTTGTCGTGACGCGGCTCATATGTCGATTTGCCGCCAAGAAGCACATAAAAAATCGACAGACTGGAACCCAGGCTAATCTATGAGAAAAATTAATCCGCTTTCCAAAAAAAAAAAACGCAACAACAACAAAAACAACAACAAAAAAGCTACATTTTAAAGTGAAATATTTCATATAAATTACAAGTTGGAACAAAACAAAAACAGCGTGTTACGTTTCGTTAATATACCTTTACGAAAATATGTCAAAACAGCAATTCATTATTTCGATTCTTTAGCAATAGTAAATCTATAAGATTAATTATATATATTTATTTCAAACAACGAGAATGAAAAGAACTAGTTAGAAATCTTGTGTGTATTGAATTCCTCGTAAAATGGGTAAAAGTGTGCGCCACACGTTATACTAGAAACATTGGTTGCCATTTAATTAATTTAAGTAATTTATATGTACAAATCATTGGTTTTATCATGATAGCTAACACTTTAAACATAATTTTGGCGTTTCTTAAAAAAGCAGCTTCAATTGTTTCTAACGCGCAAAAATCCTTTCATAAAGGCCCATAAAGCCATAGAAATGCTTTTATCTTTTAAAGCTTTTTATTTATATATATATTTTTACTTTTTTTATTTTTATTTCCATTATCATTAACCTGAACTATCGTTTGCTTCTGTTAATTTTTGCCAATCGAGTACGGTGTTAATGATTTAGTAATTTGTATGAAAGTCAAAATTTTGCTACAATAACAATTTTAATACTTTCACATTCACCACTACTTTCTTTAGAAATATAGGCAAAACAAAAATGTAAGTCTGCACAAACTGCATGATATAATAATTATGTATTTCAATTCTTTTTAAGACTAGTCTTGAAAAAATATAGTATCCGAACTGTATTTACAAAGCCGGGAGTAGGGGATTATTTAGAATACTACATGAAATATATGTATAAATACCTATAAATAATTAATATCATTCCGAAAAAAAAACACTAACAAACAAATATACATGACACTTTAAAGTGAAATATTTCATTAAGATTACAAATTGGAACAGAATACAAAACAGCGTGTTCCGTTTCAATTAAAAAAGCAAAAAACAAAAAAAAAAACAAAAAAAAACAGCAATTTATTATTTCGATGCCTTGGCAATGATATATCTATAATATACATGTATAGTTTATGTTTTTGTTTCAAACAATGAGAAAGACAAGGGACTAGTTAGTCGCTTGTTCTTATATTCGAGTGTGTACCGTTCTTCTCGGAAAATACTATGAAAAATGGCTATACTCGAATGCTTTCGACAATAATAATTCAGGTGTTTTTTTTGTTGCGTGTTCCTTACGTGGTATAACTACTTTCAATCCGTATTAACTCCGAGGTTATTATAGATAATAGCCGTGACGTTCCGATTTATCGCCACACGATATACTTGAAAAGTCCGGTGCTATTTAGCTTTTAATTAACTATTAAAGTACTATAAACATACTTTTTGTCGTTTCTTAAAAATGCTTTTGATTTTTTAGTTTTCTATTTTAATTTCTAAAAAAGGCTGATCGGTCGTACCGTCTTTTGCGTATGTTAATTTTTTATTAAGTTGTGATAGTTATTTTAAATTAGTATTTTGTTAAAAAGTCAAATACAACTTTGTTGACATTTTTGGTTAGTTATTTTACATTCACCGCTTCAAGTCATAAGCGGCTGCATGCTTTAAGACAGTTAATTAAACGTTATAAAACCCGTGTTCGCTCTGGTAAAAAGTAACTCGCTTCTGAGACATAATGTGCCTTAGCATTCAGTACAGACCCGACATTTAGGGTGGAACCGTAGCGTGACATAATATTTTAAGGGGTGAATCGAGCGCAGAAAATATAATATGCTGTATTTCTCACTAAAATGTTCTTTGAATGACATTAAAATATTTATCCGTTTTATAATAATCATGTCAATTTATCCGTTTGATAATAGTCATGTAAATTACATCAATACTTTTAGTACTTTGATTTCATATGTGACGTCAAAGCGCGCACTGGCTAGACTGTGTCTCGCGTAAATTTTGTCTACGACAAAGGCTGCGACGTCGCAGAAACACAACGTCTGCGACACGTTTCATAAAACGGTCGTACGACATTGTCGCAGACGTATGACACCGACAAAAAATTGTCGTAGACTACGACACGTTGATAAAACGGCCCCCTGGTTCTTAGTGGTGATTTTTACCAGCTTCCACCTGTACCCAATACCATGTATAATGATGAAGGGAAGTACTGCATTGAAAGTGATTTATTCTCAAATGTGATTTCACACAAAATTATGCTGAATGAGGTTGTAAGACAGAAAAATGAAACATTTATAAAAGTTCTAAAAGAAGTTTCTGCAGGTGCACTTTCCCATGACTCAGTCCAATTCATTAAATCCCTCAACAGGCCCCTTGTAAACAGTAATCAGGAAAGCCTTAAATTGTTTGCAACAAATGATATTGTTGATGATTTTAACCGAGATAAGTTATTGAAAATGGAAGGTCCAGTATATGAGTACATGTCAGAGGACAAAAGTAAAATAACATGTTTAAATCATGTTCTAGCACCACATAAGTTGTGGCTGAAAGTGGGTGCACCTGTAATATTACTAAGAAACTTATCAAACAAGCTTGTAAATGGCCTTAGAGGAGATGTTATCAGCATTTCAGAAGATGGACCAGTGGTGGATTTTCATTCAGTTGGAATACAAGCTCCAATGAAAAAATTCAATTCACAGGTAATTGAATGATAGTTTAAATTTTTGACATGTAGTATACTAGCACACATTTTAAGTCACACATTTTTTTACTGTAAAAAACCCAAAACAACAACAAGAAAACAAATAAAGTATATAAAACATGTTATGATGTATGATTAAAAAATTGTGAATAAATTTTGGTCAAATTTGATATAAAGATACAGATGTTTCATTATAATAAGCATTGCAATTGAGATTTAACAATTATAGGTATAGAACTATATATTCCTGATATTTTTCAGTGTTCAGCCTTAGAGATAATAAAGACATTGCTGTGAGGGAACAACTGCCATTGAAGTTGGCTTTTGCCATAACAATTCACAAAGCACAGGGAATGATGCTTGACATGCAATAGAATAGTTATAATTTAAAGTAAAATTTAGATTGATATTGTTATTTATGCATTTTGAATAATTCCTTTGTATATATTGCTAAGTGTATGCACACAAGATATGGTTAAAAAGTTAAACATTCTTAATTTATTTGCATACAAAGTATGTTTGCAAGAAAAGTGGTGTTATGTGTCTTCTGCAAAAGAAATAAATGACTTGGTTAATTTAGTTTTCATAACTAACCATAAAGTTCACTTTTATCATTCAGGGTTGAAGTGGATTGCAGGGGTATATTCAAGTCTGGTCAGCTTGGAGTGGCTATGAGCAGGGCTAGAGATTTCTGTGGACAAAGAGTTGCAAATTTCACCCAACGGGCATGCATGCCACAACCTGACATTGTAAAGGATTTTATCAACCAACCATCACAGACATTTTCTGAGGATCTAAGTTGTTGTCAAGAAACATTAAGGTAAATTTATACTGACCTTAGCACCTGATGACTTTTATTGGAGGTCTTTCATTGACAGTCGATGAAGCTCGACGTTTCAGTGGCTTTTTAATAGCTGACTCGTATAGCATGGTCCCATCTCTAATTTATCTGTATTGCCTTTTTGAGATATTGTCTTTTGACCTAAGATTATGCTATTTAATGTTCTTCCATACTGTAATGCATTGGGATTGCTGTTTGCTCCATTATAGGTAGACCGCATTTGGTTAAAAGTATTTTCAATCAGATCAGAATTAATCAATCCAGATGTAAATAGAACATTTCTTGTAAAAAACCTTATTGCACAAACTAATAAATCCAATTATACATGCATGAATATCCTCATGGCATTGAAATGAAAGCAATGATTTGTTGGATCCTTTGCTACCAGACACTGAAAGTTCCCAGGTTTTGAACCACTCGTCAATTTCATGTAGCTGTTTAAGTCTTTCATCATCCAATGAACGCACAGGCTTAAAACTTCTGAAAATTTCTATCAATTTTGAAGTTTTTTTGGAGTAGTTCTATTGCTCCATCAAGATCACTTCTTTTAGGGCCAAGATACAGCTTGTATTGTTTAATGACATGCAGCATATCACTGTTTAAAACCTTTTCAGCCAAATGATTCCTCATAACCCCCCCCCGGTCTCCTGTCCCCTTTGTTGATTTTGTTTTTCATATTTTGGACTGAGTTGAAGGAAATAAGTGTTCATTTGTTAATTTTTGATGCAGTTGTAAAGCATTGAAAGCAGTCAATGAACATTTGCCATTGAACAGTTTTATTAGAGGTGAATTTAAGTAGACGTGTAGAGGATTTGAGGATACCACTTTTAACATGTTGTTCCGAATTTTCTTAAGTACATGGGACACATCCATCATGAATATCATCGAGTCTAAATTACATGGATTTTGACTGGAATATGTTGTTAAATTTGAAACATTGCATTTTACATTGTAAAAAAGATCTATTGCATTGAGCTCCATCCATACAAGTGTATATTGCCTTGAAGCCAAATGTTTGAAGTTTATCAACTGCTTCCCAAAATAGTGAATACAGTTCTGGAGCGTGAATCCCATCTGTTATAAAATAGGCAAATGGGAATCTAAAACCTGTTATGCCTGAAAAAACTAGTTGGAGAGCATGGGTACCTAGAATGTTATCTGCCTTGCCATTTCTTAGTATATGGCAGGTATTACCTTCAGAACCCATTTCCATAAGCCCAGAAAGTTCCACAACATCACCATTTTTGTTAATTTGAAGATCTGTCTGAATTGACATTTCGTCCAATATGATACCTCCTGACCACGCCTCAATTGGTAGTGCTCTACGTTTAGCCTCGAGGTGCATCCATTTGAATATGTCATTGTCAAAACCAACATTATTTTGAATTCTATTTTTATATAAAATTAACAATGAGGGGGAGGGTAACAGTAGAAATTTGCTATCCCTGAAGTCCTGATAAGACTGTGGGCTCCTCATAAACCACTTAAGGCAAGCAGATATTACACCTGAGCTCCACCTTCTTCCTCGAGGGTCTCGTTCACAATTATTAGCCTGATTTAAAAGTATGTCAATAATTTCCTTGCTTGCACCAGGAAACATGTTGATTATGCTTTCCTTTGTTGCTCTTATTGGTTTTGAACTATTTTCTTTGTTTGTTTCAATGATGTTTCTTTGTTTTAGAACTTGATTTTCAGTATCATTGGCTTTCACTTTGTTTAAATCTGGAGCATTAACTTTCATGTATTTACATTTGTGACACATTTTGTCTGTAGAATTTAAAGGCACAATCCGATCACAAAGTATTGACCTGATTTTTCTGTGCAGGTTATCACATACTTTTAGATTTTCAACTGTATGGTAACGGCTTACAATTACAGATTTTGTCAGGGGAAAAGCATAACATAGAGGTAAAAGACTTGCCACTTTGCACACAGTATTTATGTTATTTGCAGAAAGTCCATATGTGTCAGACACACAAACTGCATCTTAATTCACATTCTTTCCAGCTACATTTAATTTCCATGTACCATTTTTATGAAAAGTAATTAGTTTGAATATTTTACAGCCATTTACTTCATAATCAAGCTCGTTGTTTTTACAAGTTAGAGATGTTTCAGTCTCTGACTCAATGGTAACAGATTCCAGTGGCAGGTGATCTTTTAAGTTTTGAAAATGGAAAGTTTCAGCTGCGTCATAGCTAGTTGTCTGTAGCTTTATACCATTGAAGATCGTCTCTGTTGTCTGCTTTGTTTTTCGATAGATGTTGACAACATTTGGGAATAAGGCTGAAATATGGGCAGAGAACAACTGTTTTTCCAATATTCATCTTATAGCCTCCCTCAAGTGTTTCAAACTGAAAAGCATTATATAGCACTTGCTGGTCTGTCTTTGAATCACAGGATTCAACAACTCTGGACAACAGCCTGAAACAAAAAAAAATGAGGATTACAAATGGGTTAAAGGCACATTAAGTCCCAAAATGTAAATGTTTATATTTCTCAAAATCTGTTCAATATTGGGACTCTGTAACATCTCAACATTTTTTTTTCCTGCTATTACTTTTTGGCCACTACTAAAGTTGTACTATTTTGTATAGAAATGTTTTGTATTGGAGGCAAAATACCTATTTTTAAAAGAATACACAGGCAAAATCATATCGCTTCATTCAGAATTTTTAATTCAATATTCTATTAATGTTTTAGAAATGAACACACTATCAGTTATATGTGCGATAAGATTTTATCCTTATGAAGAAATAAGTGGAGGTTTTACAACACTTACTATTTTTACAAGACGTAATTGGCATGTTCAGCGTAAACTTTTCCTCTTGTTAAACGTCTAACATGCCCATAATCCATTATTTAAACATTATTAAACACATGTTTGACATGTTTCCAAAGAATATTAAAAATGTATATTTCTGAGGCATAGTGTGCCTTTAAACATAATTTGGTGATTCTGTTGACTTTTTATATAATTTAATTTAGATTCCATTTTGTTATAAATCATTTATATATAGACAAATATGCTGGAAGTTGTAAACTTTCATTATTATTGTGATTTGAGTAAATAAAGTTAAATATAATATGCCTATGTATCCTTTTAAAAATCTTTGATATTGCAAAATATTGATCATAGTTGCTACACAGGTTCTTTGTAAATATAGAATAAACTTGTTTTGACTTCACACTAAGTAGATTATTGTATTATGTTTAAAATTCTACACATTATAGGAGGTCACAATATTAATATAATAGTGTCATTAACAACATTTAATAGCAGTTTTTTTTAAGGAAGGTCCAACTTGACCTGTCATAGGGAAGCATAGTTTAATCATATACATAGTTCTTTCATTCTTTTTATAAGACATATTCAGTAAAAATGTCATAGATTTCGATAAATTTTTGTGATTAAAATATGTATATAAAGGGTGAGCATAGTATTGTTTATTTATGACAAATTATTTTACATTCAGTGCTGTTTTTTTCTGATAAGAATCTTATGTCATAGCAATCAAAGGTATCAAAGCAAGCATTGTCTTCCATAAGCATGGATGTCCACTTTCCATACTAGGCAATTTTTTTTCCTTTACCACCACTTACTCCCCTAAGCAACCAATTTGACATGCCGGAGCACTCATTGACTTCTGTTTGTAACAATTGACTTTCCAAAGCAACAAATGACTTCCACAGCAACAATTGATTTTCCATAGTAAACAAAATACTTATATTGAACAAATATAAGGGTCTGAAATTATGGTCCTCTAAAAGCATATTAGAATAAGTGAAAGAGACAGAGGGATTTTTGAAAATGAAGATTTAAAATATATTTCTTTATATTTCAGGAAAACAGAGGTGTTTGGGTTTATCTCAGTAAGTGACAAACCAGTGATCCCTTTTGATACTGATATAGATGCTCAGTTTGAGGACCAGTTTGACAGTGAATTTGAACAACTTATTAATGAAATAGATGAATTTAATGCTGACAGTAATCTTCCGCAAGACCTTAACTTGGACCAAATAATCCAAGATATGAAAACAGATAAAGTTTTCACCCCATTTCAAGATAATGTGAACACTATTATAACCTCTTTAAACAAACAGAAATACAAGGATTTCAGCTGCAGAGAATATAATTTTTTGAAAGATCTTAATGAAAAAATGAATTTTACTGGTCCAGTTAAGTGTGCAGATTTGGGTGACTTTTACACTTCAGTTCATAAACATCACACAAGTGCTGAATTTCTATTAAGCTGTATGCAATCATTTGAAAATGAAAGTTTCATGGATGAACACAAGCATATATGTTTTTTTACATCAGTAGAAATCAGAAAGTTCATTTTGAAGCAGTCTTCTGAAAACTATACTTCACAAACAAAAGCAGGTAGTACAAAGGACAGTAACAGATGCTTCTCGTACTAGAATAAGGTATGTAGGTGGTTACTGCATAGCAAAAATAAGATTTAAGTACATAAGAAAAAAATACTGTGAGATATTCTAAAAAAAACCTGAAGATTCAGCAACTTTATGAAGAGTGGTTTTGATTGCTACTGAAATATTGAACCAGATGCAAGTGGGATGAACAGTACATACTGGCAAACAGCAGTGAACCTGAATCACTATTTGATATTACTAGGAAACAGAATGTCAATAGAGGATTAACAAATATTTCTGCTGAACTGTTTAAATTCTTTATTTGTTTGTCTCAAACTGTTTTATCAATCATGACCACTGAAAAATTCAACAAGTATAAAAAAGATTTTTTTGAAAACTCTAAACAAGAAATAATAAATAATAAGGAGTTACTGCAATCCTTTTCAACTGTAGTTCTGAATCAGTCAAATTTAGACAATGTATCAAGTACTCCTTTCAAAGTGTCAGAAAATGATATTAGGACAATTTTTGAAAAAATTGTGAAATCTTTCCTCTTAATCATGATTGCACAGTTTCGTAAAGATATGATAGATTTGTATAATATTGATAAAAAAAATGGCACATAGAAAGCAAATAAGGGTATCCAGTAAAAAGGATTCTAAAAAAACTGTAGTTGATGAAACAAAAGACAGTAAAAAAGGCAATGATAAAAAAGCAGAATCAAAAAACGAAAAACAACTGATGTTGAATCCTCTGATCAACTCTTAGACCAAGAGGCACCATCCCGTGTAGTTTCTGTTCCTGAAAATGAACCTTCCACCAGTAGTGAGCCAGCTCCATCAACATCACATAATCAGACTTTATCGGATTCGGATGATAATGATGACAATATTCTTTGCAAAAAGTGCTTTACAGCTGATAAAGAAATTGAATGGATACTGTGTGATAATTGTTCCGAATGGCTGCATCGCGGTTGTGCAGGTTTTAAAACCTCACCTAAAATGGAAAAAGAACAAAGGGCTCTGTTTACATATGCAATGAATGTTTATAAAAATCTTTCAATTACCATGTTACCAATTTCATTTTGTACGTTTAATATAAATATTAACAATTTTTCCGCCAATTTTAATACAGTGTCGCAATGTAAACAAAGCGTAATATGACGAACATTCTACTGGCTTCCGTTTACCACGCACTAGCATCAAGCGAAACGGGGAACCACGCACCTGTTGTCGGACGAACACTTCCGGGTCATAATAATTCTGAAGAAAACATCGTCTAGTAGCAGAATATTTATTGAAATACAGGCTCATTAGACCGAGTTTCATTTATCGAGCATAAGAACATTAAAAAGTAGTAGAATCCAGTTGTTTGCATGTGTGTTAGACCCTGTTGGTCTCTTTATTTATGCATTTCAAGCGAAAATGCCAATTACAACGTACATGTCATGGCGGTCTCATCTTTCGGACCTGGGTGATTTCTTACTTTCGGGCTTTATAACATTAACTAGCGGTTAATTGGGGATCTGTAAATAGTAAATTGTAATAGAAAAATATATTGTGCATTGATTCCATGTAAAAATCGGACGATATTACCGCCCGATAAAAATTTTTAACACAGATAACCGGCGTACCCATAATTTTCTTACCTGAATGTTGCATACCTTGTCTATAATAATATAACAGTAAAAATGTTTTTTTTTATGTTTTTTTTAATATATTGATATTTTATTGTATAAATAACAAGGTCAAACACATTTAAGGTCAAATCAATGCCACTAGCACCTGTGGTCTTGAAGACTTCTAAATTATACTGTATGTAATATCGAGACAAATGAACACAAAAATAGAGCATTAAATGTCTATTGCAGACAGACATATTCTCTTCAACACACGAGTAAACACCACGTCATCATTCAGATTCCAGACATATAAACAGTGATGATTATAGGTCCAATACAGACATTTAAAGATAAAAATGGCAATTCAAAACATGACACTGAAAAAGCAATCTATTTTAGATTAAGGTTATTTACGTGAATAGCAAAACATATAACACGCTTAAAGGTATACGATATTATATTTCATTCAAAGTTATATGTAAATGGGGGTATTGTCATACGTATATGTTGTTGAAATATGGCATTCAAAGACACATCGAAACAATTGAATCAGTTTTATTGTATATAAGTGGTACATATAATTTGATATTTAGTTACTTTATACGTTAGAAATTTTAGAGAATGTTATAATTCCTGTTTGTTACATTTGAAAGTGTATAAAGCTTTGCAGTAAAATTGATTACAGAATACATGAAACGAAGAAATTCAATATACTTTAATGTTCTGAAAACAACATAGGTTTACTGTTCTTATTTCCTTTTTTTAAATTTCAATAGATATAGCTTTATGCATTTAAACGCGTGTTTAAATCATATTATCTCAAAAACATCTAATAAGCGACTTTCAAATCAAATAGTTAGGTGAATAATGTCCAAAAATGAAAAAAGGCACCATCACAAGCTTAACATTTAACACTAAAAGGACTAACATACAGTGTTTACAGTACCTTTGTGAAGTAACTCACGATTTTCTCGTACAATGCTCTTTTATTTTAATTTTGTGTGTTTACATAAAACGGATGCGGTCAACAATGCAATTAATATTACTTCATGACCAAACACTAAAAAGTAAAATGAACACAATAGAAATTTGATGTCCCATATTTAAGATAAAAATTAAAATATAAAAACCTTATCAAAACATCTCTTTCGATACAGAACCTTTCTTTTATGCAAAGAGTAAAATTTAGAATAAACGCTTATTTAATACCATGACAATATTAAATCCCAGACTGAGATTCTCAATTTTTAGTCTGCTGTTATTAAGAGAAGAGCAGTTACTGTATAATAAATTTATTATTCAAAAGTTTACATTAACATGTTTATACTAACAATAATAGTACGCCGTATTGTGAATTCAATTTGGCATTTGACAAGACAATATAGTTTTGCAAATAAGTCCGACACTTTGCATGGCAAGTTTGCACCTTTACGATTTATTAAGTTCAAATATAAATTAATTAGTGTCGTTTACGTCACTTGATATCTTTATTAGATCCTCTAACTTCAGTAAATGTTCAAGAAGTAATCTTCTTACTTCTTGAAAATCGAGACAGCAAATAATTAAATGACTCTATTTGTCAATCATGTATTATCATTGATCTAATAGTGCAGTTCATTTTATTTGATGCAGTGAACGTTAAAGTGGCATAGTCTAGGCTTTTTCCAATTTGTTTTACAGATATGCAAGATCAGAAATACATCCAATTATTTCAGTATAACTTTCTTCAATTATGTGTTGCAGTAAGGGTTTAATGTCAAGCACAAAGATCAGGTGCACAAAGCATGACATTATACTAAACAGACTAGTGAGATCACCGAGATATAACAAAATTGGTTTGAAATCTAGGTAAAAAGTCAACAAATAAAAGATTGGTAATTCCCAAATCATGTTAAAGAAGGGAATATAAACCTCCACACAAAACACGTTTTATGGTAAAGTATGCAACGCTCAAATACTATTGCAATTGATTTGACGCAGGGAAATATTTTATATGCGTTTATTTTATCATTTTATGGTTTTCAGTTGTTTTTGATCGTACAAAATATATTGTATTTATGGTTTTTGCCAAATTAGATCCAATGTTTTATATCTATAAGTATTTCCCTTATTAACGACTGACAAATGCTTTAGACAACTTATTTAACCAATTTTCATTTCGTAACCGACAAATTGTCCAGGTAAAGACTAATGACACCAGCCATTTTGTTGTCCAAAATCTTGATAGTAAAAATGTTACCCTGCAAGGTCTGTAATTCGCAGCTATTAGCACTCTTAACATAATACACGTCCTTATTCCCCAGTTATACACGTCCTTATTCCCCAGTTATATTACAAGAAATGATTTAATTTCTTAAATTGATATCCATATACTTCTGAACGAAAAACAACAACCAAAAAAAAAGAAACAAAAAAAAAAAAAAAAAAAAAAAAAAAAAAACAACAAAACAAAAAAAAAACAAAACAAGACAATCTATTTTTAACTTATTTTTGGTTATTTATGTCTAGACATACTCAAAATATGTTTACTTTAAGAACATCTATATGTTATAAAGATGTAGTAATCACTGAGATGAATGTCTCTGTTTGATAGATTAAAATGTTTCAATGAAGTAAGATCATTATTGGTTCCAATGAAGTAAGATCATTATTGGTTCCATGAAGACATTTACAAAATACTTGGATATTGACATTTACGTGATTAAAACGGAAATAACAATCTTTACATTTGATTTTTGTAACAAGAATGGCAAATTAAGGTAGAAAATTTCACTATTGCAACAAAAATATATACCTTGCAATTTAATTAAAGTTAAATTAAAAGCCCTAAAAATACATTAATAAATGTAACTTTTTTCAGAAGACAAAGTAACACTGACGTTAAAATTAAAAGCATATAGCAAAGATAATTGAAATTTCAATTCGCTTCTGATTCAAATTAATAATTTGCATCACAAAGATATTATCCAAAAAAAAAAAAAAAAAAAATTAAG